TAAATTAAACAACTTTAATGAAATGGAAAAATCCCTAGAAAGACACAAATTACCAACACCAACTCAAAAGAAATAGAAAATCTGAATAGATTTATATCAAGTAAAAAAAATGAATTAGTATTCAAAAATCTTTCCACAAGGAGGAGCTCGATCCCAGATGGCTTCACTCTTGAATCCTATTAAATATTTAAAGAAGAAATAATACCAATACTCAACAATTTCAGAAAATAGCAGAGGGAACATTTCTCAGTTCATTCTAGAAGGCCAATATTACCTTGATACCAAAGCCAAAGACACTACAAGAAAAGAAAACTACAGATCAATATCCCTTATGAATAGCGATGCAAAAATTCTCAACAGAATACTAGCAAACTGAATCCAGCAATATATAAAAAGGATTATACACTGTTGCCAAGTAGGATTTATCCTAGGAATTCACAATTGGTTTAACATCCTAAAATCAATTAATGTAATACACCATATTAATAGGATAAAGGACAAAACCCACGTGATCATCTCAATACATGCAGAAAAGGCATTTGACAAATCAACCCGTTCATGATAAAAACTCTCAACAAACTAGGAATAGAAGGGAATTTCCTCAACCTGATAAAGGACATCTACAAAAACCCCACAGCTAACATCCTATGTCCATCAACTGATGAATGTATAAACAACATATGCTATCCGTATAATGGAATACCAGTCAGCAATAAGAAGAATAAATTACTGATACATGCTACAACGTGGATTAACCTCAAAAACATGCTAAGTGAAAGAAGCCAGATGCACAAGACTATATATTATATGATTTTATTTGTATGAAATGTCCAGAAAATTTATAGAGACCAACAGCAGATCTCTGGTTGCATAGGGCAGAGAGCAGGCTTGATTGGGCTGTATGTCCATGAAGGGCTGGCAGTTGAAGAAGGAATTGATGGCAGCTATCTTGGAGACAAGCTAGCACAGAAAGGAAACCTTCAGAAGGCTTTAAGTAGAGAAGTGGTATGATCTGACTTTTTAACGGGATCACTCTGGCTGCTGTGCAGGAGTAGACCGTAGGTAGGCAGGAGGAGTAGAAGCAGCAGGGAGGGTGGCACTAGTCCAAAGTGGCTACAGGGGAGCTAGTGAAAGGTGGTCATACTATAGATATATCTTAAAGGTAGAGCCAACAGGATGTGCTGATAGATCGATGGGAGTGATAGAAAAAGAAGAGCCAATGATGACTCCAAGGTTTTGGGCCCAGGCTGCTGGAAGAATGGAGTTGCCATTAACCGAGATTTGAAAGGGGAGGAGCATGGTTAGGCAGGAAGATTAGGAGCTTAGGTTTAAGAATCTATTAAGATATCCAAGCAGAGAAGTCCCACAGGCAGTTGGATATACGGGTCTGGAATTCTAGAAAGCAGTCAAAGCTGGAGACATATGTAGATATCAGTGTACAGAGTACATAAAGCAAGAGACTAGATGAGATCAGCAAAGGAGTTGGTGTAAATAGGAATGAGGGGAGACTTTGAGCCCTTGACATTAAGAGTTTAGGAGACTGAGGAGGAAACAACAATGGAGACTGAGAAAGAGCAGCCAGGAAGAAAAGCAGAAGAGTTCTGGAAACCCAGTGAAGAAAGCACTTCAAGTGAAGTATTTCACAGTGATCAATGATGTCAATGTCACAGTGTCAAATGATGCTGATAGATTAAGTAACTGAGAACTGACCATGGATGTGGTGATGTGGAGGTCATGCATGACCTTGACAAGAGCAGTTTTGGAGAAGTAGTGACGGTTAAAGCCTGATTCCAGTACGTTCAAGGAATGTGGGAAGACAAACTGGAGGCAGTAATTGTAGATAATTCTTTACTATAAAGATAAGGAGAGAGGGCCGGCCCAGTGGCACAGCGGTTAAGTGCTCGCTCTCTGCTTCGGCGGCCGGGGTTTTCAGGTTCGGATCCCGGGTGCGCACCAACAAACTGCTTGTCAAGCCATGCTGTGGCGGAGTCCCATATAAAGTGGAGGAGGATGGGCACAGATGTTGGCTCAGGGCCAGTCTTCCTCAGCAAAAAAGAAAAAAAGAAGAAAAAAGATAAGGAGAGAAATGGGATAGTAGCTACAGGCAGAAGTGAAATCAAGAGAGGTTGTTTTAGAGATGGAAGAGCATGTCTTTATGGTAAAAGAAAACATTGAATAGAGAGGAAAAATTGATGCAAGAGACAGAAAAGAGAATTGCTGGAGTAATATTCTTGAGCAGGCGAAAGTGGATGGGCTATAACATGCCAGTGGAAAGGATGGCCTTGAATAAGAGCATGGACAGATTGTCTTCAGTAGCTGGAAGACAGGCAAGAGTATATGGGTACATCACAACTAAGTAGATTGTTAAGAAAGATTATCCCAAATTTGGAAATGGGCAAACAGGATTATGGGGTATCTTTTTAGTGAAGAGTTCTGCTCTGTTCAGCGGGCCCTCTGGAGATTATCTGATGTTCTAGGGGCAGGTACCTTTGCTTGACTTTCTGCTTACTAGTGATTAGGATATTTTATGACTTTGTTTCTTATAGAAAAATAGCAATGTAATTGTTGTCTGAGAGAAATTCAAATAATTTCTGGCCTGTGGGAAAGATAACAGGTTATGATTTTTTTTTGCCTTGTAGGGCATTAACCAATCTAACCTAATAATCTTATTGTAATATTTAAGTGCCTTTCCTGATGAAATATATAAACTCCAGCTCCTCAAATGTTCTTTGCACCAGCTTTATAATTTTACTGGTTCCCTTAGTTAATAAATTTTGGACATATGTTTAGTCTATATTTACATGAGTCATGATTTTAACTTTTTGAAAATTATATTCGAACAAGGAAGGTATAGTAGTGGGGGCTTGTGGACAGTCTCTTCTGATTGCTTCTATTTTCTCAGTGAATAAGGATGCAAAGTTATGAACTGAGAGTGAGAATGTGGAGGAAATTGTAGGGGTTTAAGGGTAGTGAAGAAGATGTAAAAAGACTTTGAGGGGAGTGAGAAAATGAAGAGATTAAGGGAAATACAGTATGTCTGCTGAGCAACGTAAGGCCCACCGGAGGTTAGTAGTCATGAATTTTCATGGATCTGTCAGCATGCCACAGCCATGCCTGCAGGCACAGGGTAGGCAGGGTTAGATTTAATCAGCTTTGAGGTTTTGCTAAGTGAGCACAACAAAGAAAATGGAGCAAGGGAGTTGCCGGTGTAAGCAAGAGCGTAATTATAGTGATGGACTCTAGAAGGAGAGACATGAGGACTTAAGGGGGTAGAAGACAGTAAAAAGGTGGTGGGATCAATGGCTTGTCAGTCCCGTCAGGCAGAAGGGATGTTGGGATTGGTTTTCTAGGGCTATAAAGGTGGACATGGTGGTTGCATAGTGGGGTGTTTAACACTGAAATCATGATGGGGATACTTATTAGAGCCAAGAAGTGAATGGAGGATGGAAAGAACAGCCTCAAATGGGAATAAAAGGGAAGAGATATAGGACAGTAACTCAAGTGGGAAACGACACTAGAGTTGTTTAGTCCTAATTTGTTTGGACAAAGAGTGAAGGGTCAAGAAAAAGGGTTAATTTATAAAGCAAGATCTCAGAGGCCATGAGTAGGAGTTAAAACTAGGGCACAAGTGGATGGGATTAGTATTAATAAACTTGGAGGGGACCCTGATGAGATAAGAGGGAGGGAAAATATCAGGAACAAGAGACAGACACTGTTGAGGATGGAATCAAAGCTAGAAGAGCTCAGATTAGAGCCATTAATCCCATCACTAAAGTGGGAATCCAGGTTATCTGCTAGGAGTGAACAGGCAGGTGTAGATTCAGAGGTTGGAGGATATAGAAGAGATTGGGAACAGCTGTTATGCCTCGGGAACTAAGGAGTAAAAGAGATGGGTAAAAGAGTCATACAGCAGTGTGGGTGGAGAAGAATGTGAGAAATTGAAGTCTTTGAGGAAGGTGGGAGATTATCTTCCCATGTCTTTCTGTAAATGTAGAAAACACGTGAGCTACTTATGTGGGTTAATTTATATAATTTACATGGACTACAAGATTGACCACATAGAAATTTTATCTTCTTTTGCCTTTTGCCTCACTCACAGTGCTCCAGCCATTCCGTCTGCCTGGAATGCTCTTCCCCTAGACACCCACATGGCTCAGTTCTTCCTTCAAGTCAGAGAGGCTTTCTTTGCTGCATTAGGTAAAACAGCACTGCTCATTACTTTCCAGCCTTCTCACCCAGCTTTATTTTTCTTCCTACATTGTGTCTCTTCCCCAAATGCAAGATGAACTCCTTAAGGGACCTTATCTCGTCCTCAGTTCCTAGTACAGTGCCTAGTACACACTAGGGGCCAAATAAATATTGATTGAATAAAAGAATAATGTAATTTTGCATTTCTAGAAAATCTACATTTTCAGGGCTCTATGTAAAATGACTGAATAATATAAGGAAACTTAGAGGCTATATTTTATTTTACAAATGCTGAACCTAAGATCCACTCAGTCAGTTGTGCTCCAACTAGAATCCAGAGCTCCCAAATCCCAATCCAGTGATCTATTTACAAGGCTGTTTTAGAGCAGGTGTTATCCTCACTCTGCAGAGGGGGAAACTCAGACACAATACAACTGGGGACCTTGCCAGAGGTTGTGTTATTTAATCGCACTGGAAACCAGAATTCCTAGTTCCTAGTAGTTACAATGGCTCTGAGTTTACACTCTTGTTACTGAGGAGTCAATAAAGCCCTTACATCAATATTTTGTTATTCTAATCTTTGCTTTCCCTACCCCCCAGTGTCTTTTCCTTTGCATTTTATTCTGTCCTTGACTTTAGAGGTCAGATGATTCTGTTGCTAAGTGAGTAACCACTCCTTTCCCTGATACGTGGACTTCGTCTTTGGCTTCCATAACAATGTGCTTGGGGTTAGGCTGTGTCTTCACTCAGGTTGTATAACAAAACACCATAAACTGGATGGCTTATCAACAATAGAAATTTATTTCTCACAGTTCTAGAGGTTGGAAGGCCGAGTTCCGGGTGCCAGCATGGTCGAGTTCTGGCGAGAACCCTCTTTCAGGTTGCAGGCCGCCATTTTATTGTTGTGTCCTCACATGGCAAGAATGCTGTCTGGGGTCCCCCTTTATAATGGCACTAATCCCATTCGCGAGGGCTCCACTTCATGACCTAATTACCTCGCAAAAGTCCCACCTCCTAACACCATCACAGTGGAGGTTAGGATTTCAACATATGAATTTGGGGGGATACAAACATTCAGTCCATTGCCAGCTGTCTGGGCCCTGACCAGGGGCCATGAAACCCCCAATGCAATGGAGCAAACCAGCATCAAGGAAACAGTTTTCATAGCTTGCTAGGTGACCTGCATTCCAGGTTAATTCTTCTTCCTCTGAAACAACTAGGGTTTACTATCAGTCATTTCAGGCAGAGTGAAGGGAAAGGGCAGCCTGAATGTAAAAGTTGTTTCTTTGTTTTCTTCTTTTTGTTTCCCACAGTATGTGAGGCGGGCTCTGTCCCTTGGGTTCGGTACAAATAAACTGAGCTGCCGATGGAACAGGGTAAGCAAGTTGATTTTTGTAGTTACAGGCTGTTCCGTGTAACCCTTTTACAAGGTCGGTAGGGATCACAACTTACCAAAACAAAGTATGTAATTTAAAATGAGGAACTGTTGATCCATGAGAAACAAGCAAAGACCTTTCAGGGTTTTTAAAGGGCTTATATTCCTGACTCTGTTGGAACAAAATATGCTGGAGGGTAAGGGAAAAAGTGCATGGACTAGAGGATCAAAATAGCAAAGTGCTATAAAAATAGAGGCCTGTGAGTACAGGCCCACATCTGCTAGAACTCTGTACCAGCCTCCTTCCTTCACTGTGTCTTATAACTGAAGGTTTTGGGGATCATTCCAGGTTTGGATGATTTGGGGAAATAAACATGTAATTAAAGTTGTGGATATAAAAGTGGTTCCACATTAATGTTTTTGGAGAGAAGACAGTGGTTCCGAAATTATAGCCTTTAAGCTGACCTCCTGAGGAAAGGGGTGAGGATTCCAGAGAGGAATGCTGGACCGAAGGCAGCATGGGCCCGTGTGTGACTTTAGATAAGTTATTTAACCCCATGAGGCTCAATTTCCTCTTCTGTAAAGTGGAGGTAACAGTAGTTTCCACCTCACAGGGTTACTGTAAAGAATTAATAAGTTAAAGCATGTGAACTCCTCTGTCCCCAGATGAAAGCCCCGAGTAGTGACACTGGTACTTGTGGTGGAGATGCTGGGGTGGAGGGGGTGAGGCAATAAAGGAGTTGGGGGCTTTTATAACCTAAGAGATTAAAGGGCTGGAAAATAATGAGTTGATGGGACTGGAGGGGCAAGGAGCTACCACTTTCATAGCCCTGGAAGCCCGAATTGGGAGGAGAAGCCAGGCTGGGCTTTTGGCCTTTGGTTGGCTGTGAAGAGAGTGTTCAGCCAGAAGCCAAGGAATGAACCAATCTCTGAGACAAAAAAAGTCCTTTTTATGCCAGGACTAAAAGAACTAAGAGAAATGGCCAACTTGGACTAGTGTGGAAGTATGGCAGTGATGTGCTGGAAAATGTTGAACAACCAGCTGGGAGTGGAGGTGAGTCTAATTTGTAGTATCCACCAATTTCCAGGGTGTAAACACATCCACCATTGCTGATTCAAGCTACCAACGTGATGTTCAGCTGGCTCACAAAATTCCTGAATATCTGACAATTGGCTGTAGCACACCACTGAGTAGGGGGTCTAGCACAAAAGAATCCTAAGGGGTTCAGATTAGGGAGAAGCCCACCGACTTGAAGTGGGAAGAAACAGGCACTGGAAGAGGCCGTATGCTTTTGGCCAAATTAAACTCATCACTTGAGTAACGAGACTGTTTCACCTCTAAGTTTCCTAACTGTGTATAATTTATGCACTGATATTCCCTTGTATTGAGGTACTATTGTACTAATTGGGTAGGAAAAAGCAAATACTTAGTGTACTTGAAAATGGCTGGCTCTGTGTCCTGGGAGGAGGGGAAGGGGCAGGTAGAAAGACACCCAAAAGGTGAAAGGGGAAAGGTTATCCTGAGATTCACAGACTCTAAGTAAATCCCCCACTGGCTCGGCTGCTGGCAAGAAGATATAGTCACAAGGAAAGAAGACCTCAGGGGCCTTCCACTTTGAGCTGCCTGGTGCTTTTTAGGTACATGAATAAATAAAAGTATTAAATAAACATTGCTATAAATAGAAAAGATTTCCGGACTCCAGGATATAGTCCACTTACCGGAATAATAATGTAGATGATTGAAGAATTTGAGTAGTTCCTTTTAATTTTCTGCAAGAGAATTTTACCTGTCTATCCTAAAAGGATGGGGGAGGGGGATCAAGGGAATGGTTATTAATTACAGGACAGATTAGAAAGAGCTTGGGGTGAAAAGGCTTGGCTATAGCATATAGAGTGGAAATACAGGGGAAACACAACCTACTCAATTGTTTCAGTTAGTCACTGTGAGGAAACGACCCCAGCGTACTGTATTTTTAGGGAACAGAAAGCAGATTCGAACAAGCCAAATGATGTCTCAGTGGAAATAAATTGTGAAATTTCAGATATGAAAGCCAGTTCTCTCTGGTAATCTCCCTGAATGGAACTAGCATTTCATATAAAGAGTCCTGATGAAAGGGAAGAAGTCCAAAACACCGCTCCAGTCATGGGGGAGGAGAACTTTGAAAGAATGCGTAAGAAATTTATAAAGCTTGCAAATATTTTCAGGATGAAAAAAGCAGTAAGTGAAAGTTAAAGGATTTAAGGATTATTTTTCCCATAAAAGAAAATAACATACTACCTAGAAGATAATGTCCTGCCCTTCTGTATTTACAAGGGGTAGAAAGAAAAAACAAACCTTAAAATACATAGATTTAAAAAATGCTTATCATATAGCATTTATGGTGGTTGAACTTAACTGCAAGTAGTCCTCACTGCCCTTTGGAGGTCTTGAAAGTAGGACAGATTCTCCCTTTTCTTATTATTTTAAGTAGCCTTGCCTTAAGACAACAAATTCAATAAGTGAATTTCTAGGACTTTGTTTCCCTATGAACTAGAGCCAGTAACAGGCTAACGTAGGACCTGGAAGTAAAAGAGGCGACTGTTATTTTAGGTATTTGTTCTGGGCTCTACCTCTTGTGGTTTAGGATAAATTATTTCAAGTCTCAGGACCTTATTTCCCACAGTTCCATAATAAATATCTTTATTAAAAGCTTATTTTTGAAAACTCCTCCAAGGCGCTATTGGAGTAGAAAATATTTTGTTATAAATTGCTATATGAGAACAAAATATCCCTATACCCTTGTAATTTGTAACATGTAATTTGTAACTGAACACAAATAAATTCTTCAGTATTACTGGTATCCTAGCATAGAAAACAGGCCTTAGACTGAAAAAACATAAGGTTTGGTTTTATCTGAATTCTTTTCTCTTTACTAATGTTTTATGGACATGCTATATGACAGCAATTTAAAGTCCAAGCTCCCCCGAGCCAGAGCAGGTATGCAACACTCTTTCCCTAAAGCACTGTAAGACTCTAGCAAAAGCCCTATCTGTAAGTATTTATCTAGTGTTCTGGTGATTCTTAGAAGACTGACTGAATGAAGCATGTTTTCAGCTCTGCTCATTTTTGTACAGCTCACATGTACAGCAGAAGCCTCAAGTCACAGCATCACAGACTATTAGGGCTGGAAGAGGCCTTAGAGATGATCCTGTTCAATCCCCTCATCTGCACATGTGAAACCTGGGGCCCAAGGAGGAGAAATGCCATCCAAAGTTACATTGCCAAAATTGGCAGAGCACTGGCTCTCTATTAATAACTCAACATGTTTGTAGTGAATTCTGGAAAATTTCAACTAGCAAGTAAGATCAGTTTCTGCTTTTCCTCACACAGTAATTTCTAGACCCATAAAGACCTATTTACATAAAGGTTAAATGTTGAACTGTCCACCCAGGAAAGAGATTCCCCCCCCAAAAAAATCCAGCAGGGGGCAGCAAACTTAAATATGGGTCCCAATGCTTAAAATCATTTTAAAATGCAAGAGGATGCATCTTTATCTCTAATTTTGTCCACCACTACCACCACCTCCAACACTAACAGCTACTGATTTTATTTAGTGCTTTATTATGTGTATGCGCTATGTTTTATTTATCTCATTTAATCCTCACAACAATGTATCCACCTATGAGTTATATATTATCCCTATTTTATTTATTTATTTATTTTTTGGTGAGGAAGATTGGCCCTGAGCTAACATATGTGCCAATCTTCCTCTAGTTTGTATGTGGGTCGCCACCACAGCATGGCTTGATGAGTGGTGTAGGTCCACGCCTGGAATCCGAACCCGCGGACCTGGGCCACTGAAGCAGAGTGCGCCAAACTTAACCACTATGTCACCAGGCTGACCCTATTATCCCCATTTTATAAGGGAGGAGATTTAGAGAGATTAAGACATTTGCTCAAGGACCCACAGCTAGAAAACAAAAAGAGCCAGAATCCAAACCAAGGTAATCAGGACTGCAAGCCCTTAAACATATGTGGCTCCTCAGGGGCTATTTGCTTGCATATGAGGTGGTGGGAGTGAGAGGAAGAAAAATAAAGGTACTTTGTTAATGAATCATTTGAAACAGAATCTAAAAATAAAATGCCCCTTACTTTTAAATTGCCACACTGAACTGTTCTCATCAAGGTTACTAGTGACCTCCACGTGGCTACATCCAGTGGTCATTTTTGAGTTCTCATCTTCCTCGACCTATCAGCAGCATTTGGCATTGCTGATCACTCCTTCCTTGGTTTCCAGGACCTCACACCCTTGGGTTTCCTTCTAACTCACTGGCTGTTCCTTCTCTGTGTCCTTCATCGGTTCTGCCTCTTCTCCCAGAGCTCAGTCCTTGGTCCTCTTCTCCTATTTCTACACTCACTCCCTTAGTGATCTCACCCAATGTCATGACTTTAGGATGGCATTTAGATGTATATCTCTACCCG